CAATGGATCAGGAATGCAATTGTTTTTGATTGTGAATTCCTTCCCATTCCCTCTCTTGGTGAATGTGAAAATGGCCACCTGGGTTTTCCCACTTCAGGAAGGGCTTTGTGATGTACCTACATTGGCTAATTATTGACCACATGAACATTCCATTCATTAGTCGGATCAAGCTATTGATTAATTTTTAGACTACAGATAAAAATGTGAAATATTTTGTGTGGAAACCATATCTCTCTTGTACATTATAAATATATTTTTATTATGTTTTAGTAATGAGGGTGGGAGGAGAGCTAACAGGGCCCAAGGCACAATTCATGAAAGCAGTTGTGACAACCTCCAGTCGTTTTACTTCATTTCAAAACCAATTCCTGCATGGACCGCTCACCTCACAGGCCTAATCTCTGCCCAGTAGGTGAGGCACCTCCCACTTCTGGCCTCCACTGTAAAAGGGGCCTCTAAAGAGCCAGACGGCGCCATTTTCTCCCTTGCCTCATGAGAACTTGGCCTTGTCAGCTCTGCTGGCAATAAATCTTTCCTTCTACTTAACTTCTGTCCGCGTGGTCTTTTGGATTACTTTCTTTGGATTACTTCCTACCCAGGTTTACATTTTCTCCTTCATTTCCAACCACAAGGAAAGATTTCTTTCAGAATACCTGTACATTTCACCTGTGGATGTCTATGACTTCATCCTCAGTATGTTCTCAAAGCTCTGCTGACACTGAAAGGACAAAAGACTATTGTCGTGACCGCCTCGACCCGCAAGGATGACGCGACAACAGGTTCTTCTTTCAGATGGTTTATTCAGGACCTTGTTTACAGCTTCTTTTTTCCTACTTCTCTCCTGCCAGCTTCTTCCTTCTTCTCCTTGTTTCTCCTTTCCATCCGCCCCTGCGCTCCGGTTATAAGCCTCCTGGATGGCCAATCCTGAAGTGCCACGTGGCATATACCGATAGGGCTGCAAACACGGAAGCAAACTAGGAGCCAAGTCCTAGCCATATAAGGAGTTGTTTTTTACAGAGAGCACTCGTCACGGGGAAGACGGAAGGCGGGAGCCCGCGCCATCTTAGGTTGCAGCCACCACGCGGCCCTGCCATTTTAGCTACAATGTTGCTTTTGCAGCCGTCTTTGGTCGTGGGTGCAGCTCTCCACAGACTATATTAGTGGGTTTTTCTACTAATAATTTTTTGAAGCATTATTTTCCCAACACAAAAGAGCTTTTTTCTGTCTCAGTATAATGAAAATTGAAATCCAATGTGCATTCAATAGTCAATAGACAAATTTTATTTTTTTATTTTCCACTTGGAGAGTTACACTTCATATAAAAATTTACAATATAAAAAAGTTGCTTGATGGCATATTATGATGTAATGCTAATTGCCTGCAGGATAGGTAAATATGCCAGTTTTGAAACCTAATCTCTAGCTGTCATCTTATGGATATGAACAAATGTTCACCAAGCATGTATTTTGCATTTTGTTGCATTGTACACTGCCACTAATAAGCCAAAGAATCAACATATATTAGGTGCATGTATTCTTGAAACCATAAACTAAGAGTGATAAATTATCAACATAATTTGGTATTTGCTAATTTTACTACACTCTTTTGTTATGTATATATAGGGAAGTCATAGGGATTATATATTGTTTGAGTAAAGTTTAAAACCATATATTTTATGATAAAGGGCCTTTAACTTAAGATGGCCAAGGCACTGATATTATATATTGCTGTAAAGAGAATTATGAGTTTTATTTTTCTGATAATAAAAGTTACTTAATAAAGACTTGTTTCCATTAACTTGAAAAAAAGGAGCATATTTTGTGTGCAATGAAGGATCGTCATGAATAGTACATTACCATGAAAGAAATCCCACCCTTTTTTGTGTTTCTAATAGGACTAAGATTGGCCTTTGCTTTCCCTATCAGTCTTCTGTGAGATGGATCCCAGCCTCCCCCTTCAGTGTCCTTCTCATTTAAATTCTAGTTTGAAAGACAATGTGATTGATTAGATAGCCTTGTATATCAGCCATTTTCATCTATATGGATGTCTTAGCATGGCACCATTACAATACATATAGTATATTCATGTTCTAATTCTTTGTAACAATTGATCACAAATTTAGCAGTTTAAACAATACAAATTTATTTTGTAAGACAGATGAAGTGGTATAGTTACTTGTGTTTTCTATGTCTCTTCTCCATGGTAAATTTCTTATTTTAATATTTTGGATAAATGAAGTTTATCAGTCTTTTTTTACTTTTTCTAATAAGTAAAAGATGAAGTTTTTAAGAAGTTTTTAAGAAAAGTTGATATTAGGGGAATGAACCCCAAGATAAGTATTCAATTTTTTTTTCCTTTCATGCAATTGTTTCTAACATATTTATAAGATGATTTCTTTGTTGCTTTGTGTGTCCCTCCCCCATGGTATAATCCATGCTTTCACTGTATTTGATGTTGGTGTAATTTGTGGAGGGGAAGGGAAAAAAACAAATTGTTTAACTAGGGATACAGGTGGACCCATTGCAACAATGAGGTGTACAAGTCGTTATGTCGAAAAACGAACTTTACAACTTTGGTGGGAGGTAGAGGGAGAATCAGGTGGGGGAAGGAGGGGAGTATGGGAAGGCATGGGAAGGAGAAACAAAGAGGAGGCAACAATGCTTGATAAGAAATGTACTCATTATTGGGGCTGGGGGTTTAGCCCAGTGGAAGCGCGCCCGCCTGGCGCGCGCAAGGCCGTGGGTTCGGTTCTCAGCCCTAGTTTAAAAAAAAAAAAAAAGAAATGTACTCATTATCTTGCCCATGTAATTGTAACTCCTCTATATGGTATTCTCACAATAAAAAAAAGAATGTTTTTCTTTAAAGTAGCACAGGGAAATCAGGTTAAGTAAACATATCTAGAAATAAATATAACTTAATGGGAAAGGAGTTTTTGTATTAATAACTAGATATAGTGTCCACACATTATATTTCATATATCATAGAAAATAGTGAAAGACCCCCGGCGTGGGGTGTCCTTCAATCTGAAGAGACCCTTCCCCAAGGAACAACGAGACCACTTGTGCGGATGCAAACAGCAAGGTTTATTCGGGCATGCCTCGGCTCCCAGGTGCACTCAACCTCGAGATCCACAAGGTTCGGGTCAAGTGTCTGGGAACCGGTTACACGGGTACCCGGGGCGACAGAGTCTATCGGGAGACTTGCGTGCCGAGTGCCTGAAAGCACCCTATTTTTATGGGTAGCAGAAGCGAGGTTACAGAAGCGAGATGCGTGGTTACAGGGTATTGATTGGTTAATTTCAAATTACGCTCAGGGTGGGGATTGGTCAGGCTAAGCTGGCCAGATGGGGTAGGTGGGGTTGGGGG